CGTCTAGCCATGTGGGTGATCCCCATCGGGTGGTGGTTTCGCTGTCGGGTCGTTGCATCCATCTGGCATCTCGTGAGCTTCACTACAACACCCTCGGCGTGCTTTCCCACAGGCACAATGCGCAACACAAGACACAATCTGGCCCCCGACATGGCATTCGAGTGCTCACGCATCACCAACCGTCCAACCATTAACTACTCAACCCCCAACCGCCACGGAATAGGCGACGCGCGCGCTGTTTTCGACAGCATGTTCAGAATAACGTAATATGCATGGGCGTCACAACAGCCGATACCAGAACCACTTAACCGAACTAACTGATTCGTATGAGGTCCACTCAGGTCGGATACATATTTCGCATATACATATTTCGCATATACATATTTCGCATATAGTTCGGTTAAGTGGTTCTGGTATATATATATATATGCCTCTATATATATGCCTCTATATATATGCCTCTATATATATATATGCCTCTAGAATGAATGAATGTATGTATGTTTATACGTATATATGTATATGTATGCATATATTTCGCGATTCGCTCTGGAATGCACTCATTAGATTTTATTGCTGAGGCGCTACTCGGACCGAAAGGCCTTGTAGTCACTTTCAATACCTTGCCGCGGCAAGAAGACTTTTCACTCACCCTGGCTCGCCCCACCGTATACTGCTTCAGGGAGGGTAACAGGGATAAATTTGAAGTCCCATATATTATACCAGAGTTCGGGTGCAGTTGTGGCAATGCAGCCCCAGTCCATCCATCCGTGGAGGTCCACCAGATGTTTACAGCACCAACCGTCACCATAACCGTGACATAAACCGCCTCGCCGACTTTCTCAACCCCTAGGCCCTCAACTCATTGAAATGTGAGCCGACCTTTATCGCAATCGCTGCTTTAACTACTGCCTGAACCGTCGTGGAATCCGCCAACTCTGCTAGATGCAAAACACCATCAACACATCAAAAGATACCAGGCCGCCACCCTTGCCACAAGCCCTCCAGCCGCCAGGCCGCCACCCACTTAAATAGGAGCCCCCGGTAGAGCCACCTTGGTTCGTAAACTCAAAATTTATAAGTAAGAAATCCGATTTATAAGTAGGGGAGAAGAGCGGGAGAGAGGCAGGGAGAGAGGGGGGCCAAATTGGGAAGTGCGAGACGCGCGGATGGCTGGGGTTGGCGGCGGGCTTGGGCTCGAAGCCAAAAGACCTGACCGACGAAACGACCTCTCTACTGATATTAGTTACAGAAGACTGCCGTGCAATCAATGGATGCAATTGTCGACTTGTCAAACCTGCCCTCATTGGTCAGATTGGATTTCCGGCATATGAAGCACTCGGCGCGCCGGCGCATCCTTCCTTTGGCACGTGGGGTGAGCTGGGTTTCGATGAGGACGTACATACATGCATACATACGTAAAAAAAGTCAGGAACGCGTATACATACATACAGGCGTACTATGCAGTTCGCGGTCTGACCTGCGTCGCACCTTCACCGCTGTGAGCTCCTGTGCAGTCTCCCCCCTTTCCCCAGGATGAAACCCATACGCCGTGTCCACTTGGGAAGCTTCACCCCACCCCACTCCTCCCACCGGCGCACCCTAAGGACCCCCATCAGGGCCTCTTAGGACGGTAGATCCTAAGCAAGCAAGTATCCTAATCAGGACGGACACCCACAACCCGCGGGACCCTAGAACCCTCTCCTCTCCTCCGGGCCACACCCCCCAAAGAAAGACATTGAAGATGATGTGCTCACCACTCCGCCACTTCCGCCCGCCCCGTCCATACAGACGAGAAATCTCTCCCCCTGCTCTGTGTCTGTCTTCCCTCGTGCCCAGTCTTCGTATTCCCTCCCCTCCCCTGCTCTACCAGACCTTTTTCCCCTTCCCTCCCCTCCCCTCCCCGGTCCAACCGCAGCACCCTCCACCTCCTCCTCACAGCCCCCTCTCGAACACCTAACACCGCTAGCGCCCTCTGAACTATATTGCGCTCTGTCAATTACTTATTACTGATACCACCCATGGTGCGACTCGGAAGAATGATAGGACTTTGTTAAGCCCGATACGGCCAACGTTTTTTTATTATTGGAGCTTGTGTACAACCGTTCCTATTCGGATAATATATTTCTATATCTTCCGTCCATCTTTTCCGGGAGAGGATTTCGGAATTTATCTGAATGTATGAATTTCGCGCGGGCGACCCGAATGCAAAGACGTCTGCGCTTAAACGAGGCGAGAAGCGCGCCGGAACGCCCGGCGATTTCTATTACCCCTCCCCCGCCCTACTGCCTTATGTCTGAAATCGTCCTTCACAGCACACGTCGCCCTCCTGGACCTCGCGCTCTAAAGGTCACCGATGTCCTCGTCGCCTTCCATCGTTTCTCTCGCGCCTCAGTTTGGCATTTCGTCGTCGTAGCAGTAATAGCAGGTCAGATGTTGCAGCCAACCGGCCCAATCACCCTTCGGAAACCCTGTGGGAGCGAAAACCGACTGAACCGGCAACCCCCCAGTCAACGGCCATTGCGACACCGCCGGGATATCATTATTACCGAATTAAAGCCTGAAACTCCAAGCGCCCCAAAACCCCAACGACCAAAAACTGCCGCCAACGGTTAAACTGCAACCCCCCCACACGTTTTCCGGCACTCGTAAGAAAGGCTCGCTTGCTTTGGCAGCGCCAGCGCTCAAATGGCGCCGAAAAGCTCCGAAACCCTGTTCAGGTACGTGGAAAAAAAGATTTTGTGTGTAAATAGATCTTGCTGAAGATAGAACCTCCCTTGGCAGGAGCCCTTCAAAAGTTGTACAAAGTCTTTCAGCGTTTCGCAGCAAAGAAGAGATACCGCATCCGCGCCGCGGTCCGCGCCCCTCCGAGGGGGCACTCCAATCCTATTACTAATTACCGGGAAGGAAAGCCACTCAATGAAGGAAAGCCAGAAAGTAATGGTGATG